TTTAAAAAATAGTAGCTAATAGCACACTACTTTTTTTGATTGATAGCAATAGCGGTAGCACGTGACAAATAGCGATCGCGGTATCTGCCTTTGTTTCTGGTGCCAAAATATTTTGTATTATTTTAAAGCCTTTTGTTCTGCCACATGAAAATATTGATGCAATTTTAGAGCCAGGAAAAAGTGTATAAAATAGCTTGCTTGAACAATCTGTACATATAGCTATGGGAATGTTTTATGGAATGATATATTTCAGCCATAACAGACAAGGTTTCATTCTTAAAATATTTGGTTACGTATGATTATAAAAGTATTGGTTCTAGATTGTTCATTTGTCAGTTTATGTTTGTTAGATTTCATATGTTTGATTATATCATACTATCACTACGGCTTATTGGAAAGCGTGATACACACATACTACATTTTACAGTCGACTCTGAATGCTGCTTTAACCATTCATATTTTTGTTCCCAACTTTTATTATAACTTACCTGCTATATTTTCTTCTTTTTTGTTTGTTAAGGTTTCAATCTTTCATCTTGAGAATTCCTTTATTATAAATTAATTTTACTTAATTATTTTATAAAAATGATCATGAATCTAATTAATCAACTCTATCAATTAATGTTTTTAGATATTTCTTAATTTAATTGTTAATAAGCTTTAGCAATATCTGTCTAAGTTAAATTAGGCTAATTATAATTTGATGTGAATGTACAATTAATTTATTTCATAAAAGATTTTACAAGTTTTAAAACTAAGATTTATAAAATCCATAAAATAAAGTTATTTAAAACATTTTACTTGATAAACTTTCTTTAAACTGAATTTGCGGGTAATCAACTCAATATCTATTTATACATTGTTCATGGAAAATTAATTATTGATCAATGAATATGGTTAGGTGAACTATTAACAAATACTACAATTTTTTTTAATATTTTAAAATAAAATTAATTTAAAATTTTATATTTGTTTTTAAAAATATTTTGAAAAAATTCAAAAAATTTTGAAAAAACTTAAAAACGTGAGAAAAAATATGGGTTCTAACATGAAAATTTTGATTTTTTATATATTTTTTAGAACAAACTTTCCACTTTTATCACATTAAATACCCCGTATAAATTATATATTTTAATAAATAGATCAACATTTTACAATCCCTAATATCCCACTAAAAAGATCAATAAATAATATTTTTCCATCACAAAGAAAACATTAAAATCATGACAAAGAATTCAAAGTCTTGCTGTATTCTCACAAATCCAAATGATTGACATTATGTTGATGGTTGACATGTATAACCTATAATATTGTCATGAGATATTATATAATACTAAATATGTAATCTACGAATCTACATTTAAACATTATTTGATTGACATGAGATATTAAATAAAGTTATATACATATATAATGTAAAAAATACACAATTATAACTATATAATTATTAAAAACAAAATGATGAAAAAATTATTATTGAAGTGTTAAACTTTTTGCAGAATAACGATATATGTCATAACAAAATATGTAAAATGTTCTAAATAAAATACCCCATACCACTTAAAGAGATCTAACATTGGCATAATCAAGGGGGGAGTAGGAAATCATCCCATTCTCTTCCCAGGAATGGAATATATCATTATTATCATAATTTTTTTTAAAATAATTGAAAATAATGAATGAGCTACAAACCTATTTGCGATTTTTTAATATGATATGCTATTTAATGCAAGATCGCGTCAATTAAACCATATTATTTGAAATAAATTATTTGCGATTAAATGCAATTTCAAAAACGCCAATTTGGAAGCAATTTAATTAATAAACCAAAACTATTTTTGAAACGTAATCCAACCAATGTCCTTCAGAAAGGAGGCTTAAATCCTCCATTAAAATTTATGAAGGGAAAAACAACTCAAAGTTCTCCTTCTACCTTAGGATATATGATTGCGAAAGAAATCACCCGATTCAAAAATAAATATTTACATTATCTGAAAAATATGTTATTATATTAATGATGATAGTAAAACTTGTAAATTATATGATTTATATAAATAAGGATATGTATAAACAGGGGCGGACTGGCGACCTACGGCCTCATGGGCATTCATAAAGGCCTCATTTATATGGGGCTTCGCCCCCATACCCCCATTATGAGGGCCTTCGGCCCGCTTTTGCCCGGTCTTCGACCGGGTTCCCTTATATGGCTTCTTCGATTTACATGATTTTTATTACTTCTTGTTACATTAGTAACGATTTTATTTTAATATATTGTAGATAATGAAGGTTTAAGCTATCAATTTAAACTTTTACTTTATATTAATTTTTATATGAAACATAATATTATATTTTATATATTTAATATTAAATTGATTTATTTTTGTATATATAAAGAGATCATTATTATATAAAGAGATCATTATTATATAAAGAGATCATTATTATATAAAGAGATCATTATTATATAAAGAGATCATTATTATATAAAGAGATCATTATTATATAAAGAGATCATTATTATATAAAAGAGATCATTATTATATAAAATTTTACTAGTTAACTTTTGAAAATAAAGAACTTAATTTAATATTTTAAATCGATTCTATTCCTACGTTCAAATCAAGCTATCACCCCCGCGTGTCGAATACTTCTTATTTTTGAAAATAAGTTTAAAAGATTTACATTTTTAGTAATAAAAGAATAGTATTATACGATAATCATATATTTTATTTTTAAAAAATGTACATCTAAGATCATATTCACTACCAATATAAAATAATAATCATTGCACATATATATTTTATATCAGATTTATAACTATATTGCATTATAAAATAAAGCATACATCACATGTTAAATATAAAAAATACATGCTCAATATATCAAATCAATTAATTTTACACATAAAAAATTATTCAGTTATACAATATTACAGCGTATAAAATTGCTGCATATATAAAATCAGGCACCGATCATATTGTAAATAGATATTATGAAATTCAAATAAAAGAATTGAGGAAATATATAATTTTTACGTTAATAAATCTCTCATTAACTTTGAACCTTTGCGCAAATATACAAGAATATCTTCTAGTTCAATCTGCGCTAATGGTTCTCATCAACTGACATCAATAAAAACGCTTCTAATTTTTATTGGTCAATATTAACTCTCAGCTTATTTTTATAATTTTTAATTTACTAAATGTTTTCTCGCAATTAACCTGCATAAATGACAAAGTTAAAATGTATTAATATGTCAAATATAAATTAGTGTCACTTGTATGCATATTGCATCTTTTAAAAATTTCATACACGCATATTAAACACTTGTTACATTTATTATCATCACTGAGTTATTATCATATTTTAATATTCCATCTTCTTCATTTGACTCCTCACTTGTACATACGATCATCGTCCGTTTCATTTAATTCTGCTACCAAATCTTTGAATACACTGGCAAATGAATATTATTCGTTACGTAATTTAACACTCAATATATATATCTTTACTATTTATTTCATCAAAATGTCTAGGGTGCAAATATTGCACATTTAAAATAAACTTCGCAAAGAGACGTTCCGACAAGGTGTTTATAATTTGATGAATTATAGGACGAAATACTCCGAACCTATAAAGATCAATCGATTCTTGAGGACGTTTATTTTGGCATTTGTACTATATATTCTCTTCGCTCGTCCTATTCGATTTTTTTAGCAGAGTATTCTGTATCCTGATACTCTCCGGGAGCTTTAAATATTAAAGTGTTTCATTTAAATTAGAAGCCATTTTATTGCTTTATTTTGAATCGATGTAATAATCGATGATACAGAAGACTTAGCATCTTTTATCATTTCCCATGCTGACAAAGTACCTAATTTTTTAATTTGAAGATATGACAGTGACCCAATTATTTCTAAAATTTCCTATATATTATAGCAGTACTTAGAGTCTAGATTTACATAAATTATCATGTTTTTGTTTCAAATGATATATTATCTAATATAAATTGAAGTGCATATCGTTATTGGGAGAAAGCTCTCTTTACCATATATCCTCTAGGGGTTTTTCACGTACCCACCACCTTATCTTACCTATTTTTTGCAGCTTTCTCAACTTATTTTGGCCAGATGAATTATTCTGTTTCACCCAAGCATCCATCCATTTATCTAATTCACCGACCTGGATTTTATTTGATTTCAATGTAAGAACAAGAAATGTTGGCCATATTATTTCTACAATAAATCACTGTATAAAAATGTAATATAATAAATTAATCAAAACTTAGCTTTCACTCCACTCAAACGGAAGCGTTTTTACTTCATTTAAAATAAACAAAGAAAAGAACGTGGTAATGATGTATAGCGTCAAGCGACGTTACTGATATTTTATGCATAAAATTATAGTAAACGACATGACAATTGTCAAGGAAGATATTCAAATCATAGAGATATCATCAAAAATAAATAAATGATAAGTGAAAATAATGTGAACATAATAATATATTTTTTTTCTAATCGGCCTCTTTTTTGATATTTTCCTCTGATCGGCCTCAAAAATCGACATTTTCACGCGGCCTCGTGGGCAAAATGCCCACCTGGTCTTATGGCCAGTCCACCCCTGTGTATAAATAATATAGTAGTAAGTATTCTTTAAATTCTAGAATACTCGCAAAATCGGATTTTAAATTGCTTAAAAATTCTCAATAAATTATTTAAAGGTGAATAAATTACACATTGCCGAAAATAAAAAACACATTGACCCTCCGTCCCTCATTATTTCTTTCCTTTCTTCCTTACATAAATACGAAAAAGGAAATTTTTATTGTCAATAATTTTTTTTTATTTTAATATCATGTTTTAAAAGATTAAGATTATTTCACAAAAGGTCAAAATTTTAAGATGGATTGAGACCTTGCTCTCCTTAACGACCACATTGTACATTCGAGAAATATGAAGCCTTACAATTTATATAATTATTCATTTAAAAAATATGTATAGCGGGTTGTAACACAGCGAATGTTAAAATATATGACGGCTACAAAACATTAATTTACACCGATATCGCGATTCTTAATATGTGCGGAAATATAAGATATTTTCAAAACGAGTATGATAGGTCATTTTTGACAGATAGGAATTTAGCTGTTGTCAGGTATAAAAGTTTATAATTTAAAGTTTTTTAAATTTGATAAACCTAGTTTTGCCAAAAATGTATTTTAGCATATGTAGAATTACTTATCCTATAAATTTCAGATAATTTCGCCATAATTATTTGACTCTTTTTTGATAATAATATAAATTAAAAGCGATTCAAAAGTTCTTGGCAGCAAATGTGTCCGAAATTTAAAGGCTAGGTACACTACACATACTGAAATACGTTTCCGAAAAATGTAATCTTTCAAATTAAAAACAAACCCTCAATATATAATTGAAAGTTGGAAAAATAACAAATTTATCGCACCTTTGCCTCTATATTTATGCAATGTTAATATATATTACAGATTTAAAACATCCCCCGAAGCGAAGGGCATCAATCCAGGTTTCAAACTAAGATGGGTCATGGTTTCTTTAAATGGTATGATGTATAGGGGAGACCGGGGTTATAGATGTTTTATGGCTATATCCTTGTAACTTTTTATCTTTTGAACTTTATCTCAAAGTTGGACTCAATATCTATTTTTACGACCTTATCCCCTTGCAAATATACATTTATTGGATACACCAATCCAATGATCAAATTGAAAAATAAAGTTATTGAACCTTCTTCTATCAAAACTCACTCATATTTTTGGATTTTTGATTTATTATAAATTAAAAAGATATCTTAAAGAAAGTTATATAAATTTATTACAATTTTACATGCAAATCTTTTATATTGATTATTATAGCCAAATGTATATTTCTTTTAATTAGATTTTTGAAAAAACTGTTATACAACAATTAATCTAAAAACCTAACCCTAACCCTAACTCTAACCCTTATTATAGCCAGTCAACACCAGATAGCCCCTCATCCTCATTATATATATGGCTATTCAACACCAGGATATGGACATTTAGGACAGAGTTTGGCGGCTGAAAGATTTGAAGAGCCCCCTCAAAATTTTGAATTTTTATTTTACAACACTAAAAAAAGTAAGTTATAGTGAAGGAAGATAATTTAGAAAATGTTATCCAAAAAAAAGTAATAATGTTAGCTTAAAGAAGAAAATTTTGTATAATGAAAAAAGGTAATTTTGAAAATAAAAAATTTTTTTGAGCCCACTGAGAAGATAGTAAAGGCTAGTGACGCCCCTCGAGTTTGGGTTATCTGGTCTAAAAATCTAGTTTTGTATAATCTGATACTTAAAACCGATTATACAGTTTTAATTTCTATTTAAATATGAGTAATATAATAGTATTATATAGTAATAATAGAAAATTTCTATTAAAATAAATTTTCCGTTTTTAAAGGTAATGTAAAAACTTGCGTATATAACCCTAGTCTCCCCTAAGCTTTTTATTGCATTAAAATTCCGATATGTCTATATTTTATGTTTGGTGATATATTTAATCATATTTTCTGAAAACACGTTTTAGTTGTGCAATTCTTAGAGTTTGAAATAATAATATAAAAAAGGACCTTTTTAAAAAATTTCCCAGAGTATTACTCATTATCTATCTTTATATTTAATTTAGATTCATGTACGGGAATCATTTGCAAAAATAGTGAAGCCTGTATAGCTAAGAAAACTGGTCCTTGCAGAACACCTACAAAGTTTTGTGTACCCAAATCTTTGAAGTGCGATGGGGTACAACATTGTCCTGGGTCGGATAATTCTGACGAGTTTAAATGTGAATTTATTTATTTTTTCCTTTGATTATAACAAATTTATGAATATCTTTCACAAGAAAAATTATTGTAGCTAATTATCCAATACATATATTTATCAATATTCATCAAAATAATTATGATGTTATATTTTAAACTAAAAATTATATGTCAAGGTTATATGCAAACTCTCTTATTATTGGCAGTCTGTGTTCCTATTTTAGTTATCATCGTCATCTCAACTGTTTTAATTTCCAAAAAATATTATAACTTATGCAGTACTAGTAAGTCAAAAATTATTAATGATAAATCATCGGATGAACTCCAAAATATTAATAAATATGATTCATTGCTAATAGCTAATATTCATAAGTTGAATAGTTTACCTTGTAATCTTCCCAAAACGGACATCAATAGCTCTTTGTCGAATGATTGTAGTAGAGCTATTAAAGTTAGACTTCCTGCAAAATCAAAATTTTTTGGATGGTGGTCATTGTGTCGAAAATCGCCCAAAGCCAACACTTACCTTAGGTTTCCTTCTATAAATTATTTTGCCAAAATACCCTATTCCAATAGCGAAAACTTGTTATGCAAGTCGGTGGCTTTGAAAAGCGAAATCAAGTTTATCATATATTTTATAACAAATTCATTCTTTCTGTTTTTTAAAATGACACACATATATATTTAAAAAACAATTAACACTTGATATTTGATTTACAAAACTCTTGTTAATATAAATAAATTTAAAAAAATGGCTAAAAAAATTTTCCTGATTGATATTAAGGGTAAACTGTTATTTAATCGACAAGTAAAATAAAACTATTACTCAAATCAAATTATCAAAGACTATCTATTATTTGATTAGAAAAATAGAGGAAAATTGTGCGAGACTATTTAAACTCTTGTATTTACCTATCTTCTGATTTAAAAATATGAGAAATATTATAAATTCATTTAATAAACATTTAAACAAGAGAGATCTGTGCAGGCCCCAACAATTACGAAAATTTTCCCGTTTCCTCTTTCGGAACAAGTACATCTCATCACCACATATTCGATTTTTCGCCTAACTCTGTTCAGAATCCTTCCTCAGTTGGCTTCAAAATGTATGTCGCAAATTTTAATTCGCTCCCACCAAATTCGATTCACACGATTAGAGGAATTCCGACAAGAGTGTGACATATATTTTTGATCTTATTTTAAAAAATATTGGATATTATTTATAATTCATCTTAATGTATACTATTTATTTTTCTTGCTACAATTTACCCTGATTTACATAATATTATTTTATAACTAGATATATATTAAAATGAATTTGCTGATATAAGAAAATTTTTGTAATTTAAGTTAATCAAAGGTTGGGAGAGTGGGGTTAGGTAACTTCTTAGCAAACCACAAGGTTTAAATTTATCCTATTATAGCTTTTATAAGTATGCATCTATAGGCTTAAAAATATATGAAATAATTAATTATTAAAAATTTTATTTAAGAAATAAAATTTAGATGTCAAAAAAATTTTTACATGACAAAATTGTAATTTTTATTAAGTTATATTATCATTTATATATATAATTAAATTTTATAGCAAAGTTTTAATCCTCTTTTATAATTTGAGAAAGTTTTATGAGTATTTATTTTGTCTAGATATTATTTCAATCATGATTAATCAATATAGAGCTTGCGCTTGTTAAACCATACACGTCAATTATGTCAGTTAATATGAAAAAAATAAAATCTCGGAAGGAAAATTTTATGGCTGTGTATAATTAATTGATATTCAGGATTTTTGCTAAGAATCCATAATCTCTCCTTAAGATCTTTATTTTTATATGTCCAAAATGTTTATTAAATTAACCAAAATTAAGTTTCGATTTTTATATATAATTAGCTTCAATTTAAAAGTATATTATGATATTTTGAACATAATAAAGTAAAATTCTATACGTATCAATATTAATGAATAAAATGCATTTCAAATCATTATAGCCTAAAAAAACCAATTCCCTAACCCTCTATTGGGGCTTGTTGAGAAAAATTTCAACTATTATATAAAATAAAATTTTAAAAATATGATAATATTCATAAAAATATTTATAAGGATAGTTATAGATATTGATTCATATATTGTTTTTTATAATATCTAAATAAACACAGGAGTTAAAGCCAATTTTGCAAAAATCGGTTCAACTACTACCAATTAGTGTTGTTAAAAAGTCGAGTTCTTACGACTTGCTCGAGTCGTAGTCGTAAGAAACGGCTCCGACTCAAGCCGATCAAGGAGCCGAATGAGCCGACTCACTTAGTCGGCTCGTGTAGTCGACTCGTTGGGTCTGCTCAATTTTTTTGTTTTTTTATAAAATCTGGTAAATTGCTAAATTTTGGGAAAATGATAAATGTGAACAAAATTATAATAAGAATATGTTGTTTTAGTTTTTCGTATTTTTTTGGCATAAATGGGCTAAAATAAGTATTGCTAACATGTTTAAATAAAATTTTAGTGAAGATGTACCCTAGTTAAGTGACAATTGTCATAATCGTTGTTTTTAAAGTTTTTCGAATTTTTTTGACGTAAATGGGCTAAAAAAGCATTGCTAACATGTTTAAATAAAAATTTAGTGAAGATGTACAGTAGAAAAGTGACAATTGTCATAATCGTTGTTTTTAAAGTTTTTCGAATTTTTTTGACGTAAATGGGCTAAAATAAGCATTGCTAACATGTTTAAATAAAAATTTAGTGAAGATGTACCCTAGATAAGTGACAATTGTCATAATCGTTGTTTTTAAAGTTTTTCGAATTTTTTTGACGTAAATGGGCTAAAATAAGCATTGCTAACATGTTTAAATAAAAATTTAGTGAAAATGTACAGTAGGAAAGTGACAATTGTCATAATCGTTGTTTTTAAAGTTTTTAGAATTTTTTTGACGTAAATGGGCTAAAATAAGCATTGCTAACATGTTTAAATAAAATTTTAGTGAAGATGTACCCTAGATACAGGGTTTCTTATTCAAAATAAGAAAATCATAATATTTTTTTAATTTTTTGTCAATTTTCCTTAAACTTTTATTTATTTCTAAATTTTTGCGATTTCTTTATGTTTTTTTTCTTACTGTATCTTTTCTCAATTTATTTCTAACCTTTTGCGATTCTTTACTTTTATTTTTCTTACTATATCTTCTCTCAATTTATAAATTTAGGTCCATTTTTTTAACAATTTACGTTTTTTTTCATCGTACATACAGATATAATATTCTTTTTATGATTTATACATTTTAATCTTTTGCATACATTTTTAACCTTTTCAATCTGGTCATTTTTAATCTTTATTTTTTTGAGCATTTATCTATTATTTCTTCTCATTTTTGATAATTATATATAAAGTTTTTGGCAGACAATATAATTAAAATTGCTAAATTATATATTAATCGTTTGGTTTACCTTAACTGTAATACCAAACGATATTTAAATTAATAAAAAATAATCATTTTTAAATTCTTATTTTTAAAACGCATTAGAAAATTTTTATTATTTAAAATAATAGGGAAGACAGACTAAATAAAATTAATTTTTTTAAGTATATTTCCATGGATTTTAATTCGAGTTATTTATATTCAGTTGTACAATCATCACAGTCCCAACAGGAAATTGTATAAATCATAAAAAGAATATTATATCTGTATGTATGATGAAAAAAAACGTAAATTGTTAAAAAAATGGAATTAAATTTATAAATTGAAGAAAAATAAATTGAGAGAAGATATAGTAAGAAAAATAAAAGTAAAGAAAATCGCAAAAGGTTAGAAATAAATTGAGAAAAGGTACAGTAAGAAAAAAAACGTAAAGAAATCGCAAAAATTTAGAAATAAATTAAAAAGGAATAACTAAAATAAATAAAAGTTTAAGAAAAAATTAAAAAAATATTATGATTTTCTTATTTTGAATGGAAAACCCTGTATCTAGGGTACATCTTCACTAAAATTTTATTTAAACATGTTAGCAATGCTTATTTTAGCCCATTTACGTCAAAAAAATTCGAAAAACTTTAAAAACAACGATTATGACAATTGTCACTTTTTTACTGTACATCTTCACTAAATTTTTATTTAAACATGTTAGCAATGCTATTTTAGCCCATTTACGTCAAAAAAATTTGAAAAACTTTAAAAACAACGATTATGACAATTGTCACTTTTCTACTGTACATCTTCACTAAATTTTTATTTAAACATGCTAGCAATGCTTATTTTAGCCCATTTACGTCAAAAAAATTCGAAAAACTTTAAAAACAACGATTATGACAATTGTCACTTATCTAGGGTGCATCTTCACTAAAATTTTATTTAAACATGTTAGCAATATTTATTTTAGCCCATTTATGCCAAAAAAATTCGAAAAACTTTAAAAACAACGATTATGACAATTGTCACTTTTCTACTGTACATCTTCACTAAAATTTTATTTAAACATGTTAGCAATGCTTATTTTAGCCCATTTACGTCAAAAAAATTCGAAAAACTTTAAAAACAACGATTATGACAATTGTCACTTATCTAGGGTATATCTTCACTAAAATTTTATTTAAACATGTTAGCAATATTTATTTTAGCCCATTTATGCCAAAAAAATTCGAAAAACTTTAAAAACAACATATTCTTATTATAGTTTTGTTCACATTAATCAGTTTCCCAAAATTTAGGAATTTACCAGATTTTATAAAAAAACAAAAAAATTGAGCAGACCCAACGAGTCAAATACACGAGCCGACTAAGCGAGCCGACTCGAGTCAAAGTCGTTTTTTCGACTAGAAACTAGGCTCGAGTCGCAGCTATGTCGACTCGGCTTAGCCGTTTAACAACACTACTACCAATCTCCTCGATTAATTTACACCTATACTTATTTTTTTTGAGAATAATTCTTATACCAGAAAATAACTCAAAAAGAGAAGAGTAACTAGTTTCACTTAAGCGTAGAATAGGTTTAGTCAAGAAGGACCTTAGAAAAATGTTTTTAAAAATTTGGTTTAAATATTGTAACTTGTTTTTCTTTTAAAATCAGCCACCCGAGAAATAACTTAAAAGAAAATGATTAACTGGATAGATTGTGTTATTATATTTTTTAAATAAAATTTAATATACTTGTCTAATTTGAATATTAGATTCCTTTATTTTACCTAAACCACTTTTTGGGGAGGAGACGGGCCTGAGCAAAAAGTGAATGTCACAAAAATTATTTTATTTATGATCCCTATATATATCTTTCTTAACCCTTTATTATCCTCCCCAACATTTAAATTAACATCAGTATACATTACTATATCTGATCTGTAAAGTTAATGTTCTTATTTATTTAGATTCTACAAGAATCGTGGAGGAAAGGTAAA